GGGGGGGGGGTTAGAGATAGTCAGGGTAGAGACCTGTGTGCGACATTCTTGGTGAGCACAACGCCCTGCAGCAGGCAGCTGTCGTGTGGGGCGCCGCCGGGCACTTTCTTCACCTGCACGTAGTTACGTACGTCGATGTCATTCCCGTACATATCTAGACATACAACCGTCAAATCAAATTAGGTTTCTGGCAAGCACACTCATCAGACTTTTCGCAAAATTACTTCGCACTTGAGGCCTGTCTTCTTTGTCTTGTTTGTTGGATCTAGCATTATTGAAATTGTAGTCTAATTTATTAAAATGTAGAGTAGGTGGAATATGTTGAAGTGTACCCGGCAGGATGATGTCTGCAGCCTGCTGACAGAGCGGGTACAGTACATGGAGCCAGGAGGGCGCGAGTGCGGCGCGCGCCAGGCACTGCCGCAGCAGCAGCGCCAGGTGCTCCGTCCCTGACTGCTCCACCAACCGGCACAGCACTGCTGCTTCACCACCTATAGTGAAGGTATCCAATGACTTGTAATCTGCAGCTCCTGGGTTCAAATCCCGCCATGTACCAATATGTTTTTCGATTTCCAATTTACATATGTACATTTATCCGATGTTCTTACGGTGAAGGAAAACATCGTGCTGCAACCTGCACATATCTGAGAAGAAATTCAAAGATATGTGTGAAGTCATCCAACCCGCACTTGGCCAGCGTGGTTGACTATGTCCTAGTCACTAACTTAGGGTAGACTCCGAGTCCCTCAGTGGGGTCGTATAGTAAGCTGATGATGATGAAACTTTTGTCTCGGAGATTGAGATCCAGATTTCACTAATGTAAGAAATAAACATACCTTCATTTTGATCTAATATAGGATGTTCTTCACTTGGAGGTGACGATTTGCTCTCTGAAAAAAAAATCAAGTAAGTACAAAAATGAGCAAGTTGGTTGTAACATAATTATATTATCAAACCTGTCGTCTTGGTAGCTTTGGTGATCCTGGCAGAACTGTCTCCCAGGTTCAGGTCCAAGCAGTACGAGGATACACTTTCCACTAGCCGGCCGCACTCCTCACCACCTGCATGGTTACACTATTTTAAAATGCTTCTAAAATATTGACACTAATAGCTAAACGGTTAGTCAATTACTAGTAAACTTCTAGTTTTTTTCAAATATTTTAATAGTTCAAGGTCATTGCGCAGTCCTTATCAGTATACGTCCCCACTGAGGGACTCGGAGCCTTCCCTTAGTCAGGGAGGTTTTAGTCAATGTTGACCTAGTACGTGTTGACTTTACACATATTTTTGTATTTCTTCACAGATATATGCAGCATCACCATGTTTTCATTCACGGTAAGCGCAAAGTCCAGCAGCAATTCACTTTATTTCTTTCAATATAGTCAAACAAGGATATCTCAACGTATGAGGGGCGCTGCTATCGCAAACCAATTATCTCAGAATATATAAAACCTACTTGCATATAGAACATTATATAAAAAAATACAAGACAGTTAAAGTAAAAAAACTCATTTAGTGATATATTTGACATTGATAGAGGGGCGCTAGTGAGCTGTCATAATTTAATTTGACAGCTCACTAGCGCCTCTTTTGTCCACTTGTAGACTAACTGTCATTGTTGTCGTCAGGCTGTGTGTCATGTTGTGTGTCATGGTGTGCGGGCCTGTACAGGGCGTAGTCCGCGAAGTGCGGGGGCTCCGTCACGCTCTCCAGGTGTCCCGCAGACAGGAGAGCCTGGCACACCGCGCCCGCCTGCGCCCTACACAGGCCATACAACACATATTGTCATCTCTCACTTTCTCAGTGAAAAAAACAGAGACAACTATATTTTTGTAATATTCATGGAAATTCACGATTAGAAATCAATAGGCCTGATTACATGACACTTTACTACACATAAATGAGAATTGGACATGAAACAAACGTTGTTAACGCCAATTTCGTTACAAGACAGAGAAGAAAGATATTAAGTCTATCTCTTTCTTTTGCTAGTCTTTCTTTAATGAGAAATATATCATTTGAAAACATACAAAGACACTGAATTGTTTATTATATCTATACTATTATAAAGAAGAAATATTTAATTGTCTGTCTGTTTGCATTAAATTGGCTTCAAAACTACTGAACCGGATTGAAAAAATCTTATACGACTATAAGACTATACTATCACCGGGAGACATAGGCTAGTACTAGATTTATTTAATTTCGCTCAGACAAAGTCACGGGACGCTGCAAGTAGTTATAAAATGAAACATTCAGTATTAAACATACCTTGTTTTATTAGTTGTGTTGTCCATGAGCCACTGCATGACGTCACAGCCGCGCCATACGCTGTTGTACCTCACCAGACGAAATCTGACATAAAGCAATATTTTATTTTATTTTTATAGGAGAAGGGGGCAAACGAGCAACGAATCGAAATATTATATGATCCGACGCCCATGAACATACGCAACGCCAGAGGAACCGCAGATGCGTTGCCGGCCTTTAAGGAAGGTGTACGCTCTTTTCTTGAAGGCCCCTAAGTCGTAACTGTTTGGAAATACCGCTGAGGACAGGGTGTTCCACAAAGTATTTTTAATAACAAAGTACGAAACGCCCCTTAATGTGACGTCATAGCTCTTAAAATAAATATATATCAGTAAAATACTCTACTCTCTTACTAATATTATAAATGCTAATGTTTATAGTCCGTTCGCGTTAAGAAAATAGTGCGTCATCGTTGTCCACCGGCCTGGTAACGCTCCGCAGCCAAATAATATGCAAGAAATCAGAAAGTCGAGTTCACAGTGACCAGTTGAAGTCAGGCCTTCGAACAAAACAGTTGTGTATTTTGCCTGTTACTCGTTCAACATTAAATTTAGAAAATAAATACCTCGCAAATTCGAAAGAACAAAAGTGAATCGATATCCATAGCGGAGAGAGACGCGTAATTTACCTTGTAGTTGCACTGATGACTGACTATTTTCTTAACGCGAAAGGACTATAAATGGATGGATGGATGTTTAAGTCATCTCCGGAACGACATAACGTATGCCAATGAAATTTGTCATAGATGTAGAACATAGTCTGGAAGAACACATAGGCTACTAGTTAAGTTTTTTTTTATTCCGCGAAGACGGAGTCGCGGGCGACAGCTTGTATTATAACAGTGTTTTTAATAACATCTATTTAATTGAATTGAAAATTACTATTAAAATTTCCAAATAAGTCCAAGTAAGTAAGACCATATGTCTACGGAAAACTTACTTATGTAGGATTGGGGAAAAATAATTAAAATCGAAAATAAAAGTTTGTGAATCTAACCTGTGTTGTTGCATTGGCAATGAGAATGCTAGCTGTCGTATCAGATCGTGTAGGGACTCCGTGGTGTCAGCGCGCGGCTCCGGGCGCTCCTCCTGCTGTCGTGCGAACATGAAATTGTCACCGCCTTTGTCAGCTGCCTTGTTGTCTGGGAACTTCACCTGGGGAAGTATTTAATTGGTGAATTAATTATTTGGTAAGAGTTGTCATAAACAAATTTATATGATGAAAGAAAACATCATGATGATACATCTTCAAAAGAATTCATAGATATAAGTGAAGTCAACCAAACCGCACTGGTCCAGTGCAATTGACTATGGCCTAGTAACAAGTTTCACTTCCTTATTTTTATTTAACAACTAGCTGTCGCCCGCGACTCCATCCGCGCGGGATTAAAAATAGATGTTGGCCGATTCTCAGACCTACTCAATATGCTCACAAAATTTCATGAGAATCGGTCAAGCCGTTTCGGAGGAGTATGGGAACGAAAATATGTGACACGAGAATTCATATATAAGATATAGTCAGGACTTTTCACCATAACATTATAAATATAAAAGTTTGAATGTTTGGATATGTTATGGTAGAACACTGTCTGGAAGAACACAGAGGCTACTAATAAGTTAGCAAGTAGTAGAAATCAAAATACTTTCACAGCGGTATCAAGCAAATAGCGTACCTGTAAGTTCTCTTGCAATGTACGTAAGTCAGGAGAGATGTCACCTGCTGCATCATTCTCACGTAAGTAGCTGAGTACTACGTTGCAACAGTATGTACATACACGGAGACCTCCCGCACAACCAAATATCTGACCTGTAAAAATGTTTTTAATTGTTAAGTATCAGTTTGATACAATACATTACTAACAAAAAGTTTTTATATTTACAAACTTTTTAAAACAGTTAGTAAATAGCTAAAATAATAGAGTATTTAAGATTTGTAACCGTTTAAGAGTTTTATTTATAATTGTAATAGTTTTTAAGTCAACAAGCGCTATTATGTTAAATCTCGAAGTTGTAAATAAATAAGACTGAAAGCCACAGCTTTTTATATATAGTACCTGGTACTCGTTGACTACAGCATCGTGAGCAGAAGATCTGACCGCAGACACGGCAGTGATGTCGGCGGCGTAAGGCTCCAAAGCGCGCCGCACACTCGTAGCACTCACGAGAGATGTCATCCGGCATCCAGTAGCGAGCCAACTCTGTATCCGCGTACCTTGTACCACCCTGATATTTACATTAAAACTTTAAAGATATCTTTAAAGACATAAATGGCCACTTACAGTTTATTAAATTCGATAATCTTTCACTCACCCCAGAACCCAAGGCTATTAAACTGCTTATTCTCTGTAAAACATTGGGCAAACTTCGTCCTTCAAATTCAACTGCATAACTACCAGATTCTGTCTTCGTATCATCAAAGCTCTGTTTTCTAGCATTATCAGGCTGACCATCGGACTGTTTCCTCTCGCCCGATGATTTTTCAGTTTCCTCAGTTGTTTCATTGGGTGAAAAAAGGGGCAATTTCCAAAGTTTATTAAAAAATGTTGTCACACCGCTCTGATTTGATTCTGATTCGAATCGTGGGAATTCTGTTAGTTGAGATGTATCGTATTTTTCCATGGTTAAATTTAAAATGTAAATGTTACGCTAAATCAGCATTCCTTCTTAAATTTTGTTTAGTTTTATTTATTTTTATTGTTCTACTTCCTGTCAATTACTTAGCTGTCATTATTATGTCAATACACAATCTATCATCTGTCAATATCATCTGTGTTGGGTGTGACCAGACGCGGACTCCTTATTTTACCGTGGTAATGAAACGTTTGTTGAAAACGAAGATTCTATTGCAAGTATTGATTATTTTATTCTTATTTTATTGGTTAAAATTGAAACTAAAAATTGTTTAAAAATTGTACAACAGTGCTCTTGATATATATTCTATACTTTAGAATGTCTTAAATAATCTACACTGTCATTTGTCAACTGGATTTGGCATTGGCATAACATTGTCAAGTTACTATAGTTAGATTATCATCAATTATCATATTAGAACCCGATTTCTTCATACAATTTACAATTATCTATATCCAATACATTCCATTTAATATAAAATAAACTACCTTAAATTAAAATGGGTGAAATAACATTAGAAACAATTGCATACGCAAAATTAATGTTACATGCAGCCAAATATCCTTCCTGTGCTGTGACTGGAATACTTTTAGCAGATGGCACAAATATAAGAGATGGTGCTAAAAACCAGGAATTAAATATAGTTGACGCTATACCTTTATTCCATCATAGCCATTATTTGTCACCCATGGCAGAAATAGCATTGACGCAGGTTTGTATTTTGAAAGTTTATAAAAAATCGTGTTTCCATGTATTACTCTTCGGCGTATTAATAATTATATGCGTTTATTTAATAGATAGATACAATGGCTCAAGCAGAAAACCGCGTCATAGCAGGATATTATGCAGGTTGTGAGAATTTTAGGGACAATACTGTTGAAAAGTGTCCTGGGCAGAAGATAGCCGAAAAAATCGCAGAAGTTTTCCCATCTGCTGTATTTATTGTGGTAAGTTACATTAATAGTTGACTTATAGCAAATTTATGGTGACTTAAAATATACTAATGACTATAATTGTTATTATAAAACTTGTAGATTGATAATAAAAAAGTGATGAAGCATCTTGATTCACCAGCAATTAAACTACATAGTTACAGTGAAGGGAAATGGAAACCCAAAGATATGAGTAACATTCTATATCGTAAGTATAAAATTGGTTTATTTTGATATCAATTATTTTGTCTATTAATTAATTATAATAAATATTTCCGTACTTTACAGAACAATCATATGTGCTAGAGACTGTATCATATTTGTTGCAAGCTCTTGTGTACAAGGATTTAGTGGATTTTGACAATTATTTAGATGATCTGACTCTGGACTGGACAAACCTTGGTATTGAGAAAGTAATTGCAAGTATTAACGCCTCAAATAGCGTTGAAAGAGATTATATTGAGGAAAGAGTCGATGATGATAATGATTATGAATAAATTAGTATTACAGTCAAACCTTGATAAGTTAGTGAAGGGAATGCAAAAATTATTTCACTTATGTGTTATATATATGGTATGTTTCTTTTTATCCAGAGGGGCTAGACAAAGTGCATTTGCTTTGATGTAATTCCATAACAAATTAAAGAAATGGATAGAACTGACAATAACTTACCATAAGTCACGTGATTGTCATGCTTCAACGGGGCTAGACAAAGTGCATTTGCTTTGAAAAGATCATAGCTAATTTCAAAAATGTATGGAACTGAGGCGCGACAATCACGTGGCTAATCGAAAGTTATTGTCAGTTCTATACATTTTTGAAGTACGTTATGGGATTGCATGGGAGTGAACACACTTTGTCTAGCCCCGCAGAGCTTCTCACTTATGGAAGTTGTCCATTGGGATGAGATAATGACAATAGAGGTTTCTTTTCTAGGTTTGATTGTAAATAGGTATGTGTATGAAAATAAGTGTGTTTTTAAAAGGACACACATAAGAGTAGTTTGGTTTTCAATATGTTTGGTATATTTATTTATAGCATTTATTAAAATTCATTTATTTATATTATTTACGGGTTTGTTAGTTTGTATTCCAAGTTAAATATTAAAAGTATTGTAAACTTGTTTGATGTATGTACAAATAAATTTTGATGGTTATTATTGTGAACATGAAAACAATGAAAATAATAAATTATACAGCCATAAAATATTAGTAATAAAAAGAGTAATCTTACTAATATTATAAACATAGAAAGTTTGTTTAATTATAAGGTGGCAAACAAACAAGTGACCAACCTGAAGTCGCTGAAATAGCGAAGTGACTGTTGCCCATAGACATACGCAATTGCAATTACCAACCTATAATCGATGGAGGTGTGGATGCACAGAAAGAGTATATTTTCCCTACCCATGCATTTCATTCATCTGGAAAATCTACTTCGACTTATAAAAAAAAGGGTGGGAACGGAAAGAGGGTTAACATTAAGCTTCCGGGAAGCACAAAAGTATAGATGGATGTAATACCGAAATAAAAGTAATAGTTACAGCTTAAAATGGTTTAATATGATTTATTATACATTAGCAAAATATTCCTCAACTAATTTCTTGCATTTATTTAAACCGGACAAATCGCCAGCTTTGCCTTGAAATTTGCCATGTTTGAAGGCACCTTTTGCTTTGAGAAGTTCAGTAATTCTGAAAAAAAAATATTTTACCAATGGGATAGAATTTAGATTAGATATATTGCTTTTAATAAATGTTGATATTCCAATTTGATGGGTACTGTAGCATTTGGTCCAAGTAGTTTTTGAGTTTATTCATTATAAAACTACAAAACTTTTCATATGTAGAATTCCACTGCAGACACTGATATAAAAAATACTGTTATCTCTGTTTTGTCAAAGAGAGTGAAAGGGATGACTATATGTTTCATATAAAATAGTCATGATGCAATGTTATGAATCTTTTACATTTATATACAGTAGGTCTGAGAATCGGCTACTATTTATTTTTTATAGCAGACGGTGTCACTGGCGACAGCTAGTGTAATGCAAATGTCACGGCAGTGGAGTTTTACGGTTAGTGTTGATTTTAATTTTAGCATATAAAGATATACATACTGTTGGCCAAGTTCATTGCAATGTTCTTCCAGACCTTGAATTATAATTTGACCTTCCTTTGGCTTATCTGGTTCAGAAGACGCAAGGAATAAAAATATTCCATCTCCCTCTAATGCCTTGCAAATCGAACGGTTGAAGTCGGGTGTGGCTTCCTTTTTGCACATGAAAATATACTTTGGCTTTGGTTGAATGTTTTTTATTCTATCCACCTCAAATTGAGCTAACTCTGATAGTACATTTTGCAAGCTTTTGTTTGCTATTTTAAGATTTTTCTGTACTTTTGATACTAGTTCTTCATGTTTGTTTGGTTCATTTCTAGAAAAAAAAATTAGTATGGGTTATCAAACTTTTTGAATATATACGCCATTTTTTTTGTTTGAAATTTTAAAGTTCAATATGATCATACTTCAGTAAAGCTGTAAGTGCTTTCTCTCTGTCTAGCATATGCTGAAATGTCTTTTTCACTCTATTGCCTACTAGGAATTTTAAATTGGTCTTCCCTTTCTTTCCCGGCTCCGTACCCAGCAATTTAATCACTTGTAATTGACTGTAACAATAAAATTTACATATTAATCATATTTATATAATTATTCAACAACAAAAAGAAAATATCCGACGTCCTACGGTGAAAGAAAACATCGTGATGCAACCTGCACATATCTGAGAAGAGATTCAAAGATATGTGTGAAGTCAACCAACTCACACTGGGCCAGCGTGGTTGAGTATGGCCTAGTCATCCCCAACATAGGGTAGGCTCCGAGCCCCTCAGTGAGGACATAGAGTGAGCTGATGATGATAATGATGAGAAAAAAATACAAATATCTATATTACTTAGTTTATTTTTCATATTTCTTACTAAACTAATTCTTGTTTTTACTACATTTAATTCTTAAGGGACCCGTTATGCATCAGTCTGTATTTGAGTCATGTGTTACCTCAGATTAGTGACATGAGTGCCGCAGCACATGTTCTCATCAATATCTCCAATGCAGATAATCCTGATTGTGTCCATGCAGTCTTTAGGAAGTCCTCTTGTGTGTGCCTATAGGGAGAAAAACTTAATTATCATTCCAGTCATCAAGATTTTTTTTTGATTTTCCAAGCATACCTTAATTGCCTATCTTGAAGTAAGTCTTTCTCATGTAATAATATATCCATAAACAATCATATTTGTTTATAATTCAAGCCAAAACTCTCTAAATCTTTTGATAACTCTGCACATATCTCTCAGAAAAGAATCAACAATAGTAAAATAGTTAAGAGCTACAAAATTTACATACCTCATTTAGATCTGGATCATTAGCTTTACAAAACTTCACATTAACTGTAACAGCATCACGGATCAGGTCATTGCATCTGGTCTCCACATTTCTAATGACATCCTCTGCCACACTACTGGCATCAAGTTCCACATAGCTCTCTTCAGCTCCTAGCCACCAGCTGGTAGTTGGTAATGCATACTCTTTCTCCAATATTGCAGATAGAAGATGTTGTCCTGTAAATATTCGAAACTGGATAAGCGAAAAACCTTTATAAACAAGTAATTGGTCCCAACAGATGACCTCCAGAACCTCGGGTAAGAGAGAAACCTTTATAAGCGAGAGAATATTGTGATCCCTTGGATTCTATCTTTTACAGGTTCAAATGTATCACTATTTAAGCTACTTCTGTTAAGTATTACAATTGGCCAAAGTTTCAGACTGAGATAAGGTGTTGTTTAGGTATGAAGCGAAGCCAAAACATATGGGACACTGTTTTAGGGTTTAATTTTCAAGACGATGACTAAACACACTTTAGTAACAGAAAAAACATGTTTGCTGTTAAAAAAAGTAGAAACACATCTACACTTACAAATGTGCCATACCAGAATGTTGTTGCATGTGATCAAATCTTCTTTCCCATTGGATCTTCTGTGTCACCGTTGTACCAACTGCTAAAGGCTCCTTTGTGAAATGAAGTGCTTCATCACCTTTACGTAGCACTTGTAGAACTTCAATGTTATCCAACCATCCAATATCATGGGGCTAAAGTAAGATCCACTATAAATGATAATATCAAACCCAATCATACCAAACTGACTATATTTATTACTAACCAAATATCTATAGGACTGATGTTGGATTTTTTGTAAGGCTTTTATGGTGTTTTTTATATTATAAGGTGAGCAAGCGGCCATTTGTATTCACAGAAATAGTGAAGTGATGAGTTGTAAAATAAAAAAATACTTTACCTGTCCACCTCCTGCAGGAAATAGTATAGTGTTTTCTAAAACTATTTGATATCCTTCAAAGTTTGTGATTTTACCATAATCCACTATTGATTCCTTGGTCTCTTCACATTTCAGCACTTTAGATGTGAACTGGTAATAAAATATGAAGATTAAAGAACATATCTAAATAATGTAAAATAGGACTGAAAGAAACAGTTTTTCATCCATGTTTTTTAGTTGTTAATTATTTATCATTTGCAAATATTTTTATTTTTGTTCTTTTTAATATAAATTGAGTATGATTATATTATTAGAAGTAAATACTTCAGATACCTCTTTTAGGAAACTATCTTCTTGGCATTTAAACACCATTGTTATCCAAAATAGGCACTAAAGAATAATTTTTTTTCTAATTAAATTTTTGTTTTTGTGATAGGTTGATAACGTGATAACCGAATACCGATGACATATGTTTGACAGGTGACACTTGACACATCTTGTTTTTTCTAAATATTGTCAAGAACACGTGTGTATTTTACAGCCAACTTTTCGTGTATATTTTCGTGAATTTATTTTCCTCTTCACTATTTTGTTATGATTTTATTTTACAATACAACTATTGCTAATTAAAACTTTTACTGTAAAGAACATTTAGAATTGAAAAGCTTTTGCTGCTACAAACTTTATTAGTTTTGTTCTAACTTAAAACCTTAACACACTAAAATAAATAACACAAAATTCTATGAACGATTTCTATGGTGAATGTCTCTTAAATGCTTCATCAAGAACAGAAATAGCGAAGTCAACATCTTCCTTATTGATGCACATAGGAGGTGTCATTCTTAAATTCTGAAACAACAATAATTTATTTATTTATAGCCTTGCAAATTGACGAAACCCTGCAAATATCATCAATAATTTTTAGATGCACATGGACCATGCAAACTCACATGGTTCCAACGTCCACCCCATCCCATCAACACTCCGAGATCTCTTACAGTTTCAAAAATTTCGGCCACATTGTCTAAGGGTTCTTTGGTCCCAGGCTTCACCATCTCTAGACCAATCATCAAACCCTTGCCTCGTACATCACCTATGATTGGATACTGCTTTTGTAGCTGCATCATCTGTTCTAGGAAATATTTACCAACAGTTTTGCTATTTTCTTGAATATTTTCTTCCTCGATAACCTAAAAATTTGGCTTAATATAAAATATTTATTATTTTAACACTTTTGTGATATCTGTATCTTACTTACTTCTAAAACAGCCTTGCCGACTGTTGAAGCGAGGGCATTACCACCAAAAGTGTTAAAATATAGTGCTGGTGAGTGGGCATCAGCTATCTCTCTTGTAGTAACAACTGCAGCAAGTGGAAAACCATTCCCTATACCCTTAGCCATAGTGACTATATCTGGAACGATGCCTTCGCTTTCGAAACCCCAAAACGTATCTCCAGTCCGGCCAAAACCAGTTTGCACCTAAAATAGTTTGAAGTAAAAACTATAAGAACTTTCTAGAACATTTTCTATCTATTTAAATCTATCTATCTTATAGATAGATTATAGTTCTTACCTCGTCAGCTACAAAGAGTCCGCTGTTTTTCTTAACAATATCTCTCGCTTTACGCAGATAGCCCTTAGGGTATTGCATAATACCGTTCACGCCCTGTATAGGCTCAGCAAACATGGCGGCCAAGCGGCCCGATGGCACCGAATGGGTTATTAACTAAAGTAAAATGGTCTAATTTAGAAATGCGCTGAAAAGGTTACCAATACAAACTACAAGAAAGAATTATTATTAATTTCTTTCTATCCATTCTCTAACAAAATAAACGATGTTAAGTTATATAATAAATTAATATATACCTCACTTAATTGATGCGCGTATTTATCAGATGTGACACAATCCCCGGGACAGCTGCACGCGCCGGGGACTTGTGATAGGGAGTCTCTGCAGCCGCTCCAGATACCACGGTAGGGATCTGGCACCATCGCCTTCATAAGAAACAGACGTATAAATAGTTATTCAACCATCTAACAGTTGTTGAAATTATAATCTTATGAATAAATGTTTTTAAATGCGTTCTTAGTGACGCTTGATAAATCCCTTTGTCATATTCTCCACACCCACATCTTACGTTGTGCAAGTTCCTTGAGCTGGTAATTCCACTTACATGATAGTATCCTGCTACCGACATATTCGGTTGTCGGAAAGACTGCGTCGAAGTCAACCCCATGAGACCACTGGAGCAGCCATGGTAGCTGCCCTGGAGTGACACAACGTCTTCATTACCAGTATATAGACGGGACAGGACCACCGCCAGATCGTTGGCTTCTGTACCGCTATTCACGAAGTATACCACCTATTACCAAATACCAAAGATAAAGAAAATGGTTATTGTCATAACGTCTTTATGAGTAAAATATGTCGCTACACATTTAAATAACTTGGAGACTAAGTCCATACAGTACTGGCGTTGGGTAGACGCGGTTAGGCGACCGCCCAGGGCGTTGAACAGAAATTAGCGCTACAGATCTGCAAATTACACAGTGCCACGTAACTCGTTAAAGAGGGCGTAGAAATCTCGCAAAGGGAGCTAGTAGTGTTAAAACTGTCTCAGGGCCCACGATTATGTTTCAAAATTACAAAGAATCTTTTATCTATGAAAATCTTGTATAGTGTACGTGTCACTACTACAAGTTCTAAATTTGGATAAAGTAATTTACAATTTCGTCATAACTATAGATACAGATGTGTCAATAATAATTAAATACGATTAGCGTTAGCTTTGGAGATAGTGAAATTAATAATTTGATAATGTAACATGTTTTGTAGGTTATGTTATTCACATGATTACTGTTAGTTTTGTAATGTTTGTTAAAGTGTTTTGATATGCGAAAAAAAACTGAATAATTAGTATTGCGACAAAATCTTACAGACTTTTAAAAACTATATCATTACTTTGGCCCGAAATTATGAAAAAAATAATAGTAGCTTATGTGTTCTTCCTGACTATGTTCTATCATTATGTCAAAGTTCAATGACATCCTTTGAGGTTTTTGAGATATCTAGTAAAAAACATTAATCCATCCAAACATTCTTTTAAGCATTAGTAAGATGGATTCCTTACCTCTAAATTTTTCGGGAACTTGGCTATCAATTTCTCTGCATATTCGTAAATCTTGGGATGTCGGTAAATATTCGTTGTGTGCCAAAGTTTACCAATCTGCTCCTGCAATGCTGCTGCTACCTTTCTGTAAAGCTCAAGCTCATAAAATAAACCAATCGCCATTTAATTATTCATTTTGTAATATGTTTTTAAGATTTTTATAACGCCGCGCGCAGAAATAATGACTACAACACTATGAGTACTTTTCTGTATACCAATTTAGTGATAATCTGGTACTTTTAAGATATATATAATATTTATTACTAAAAGAGTGCTCTTACGGATGACTGTGTCCCACAGAAATTGTAGCGATTCCTCCTAAGAGGTCCAAATATCTGCGACCTTCATGGTCGTACAGCCACTGCATGTGCCCTTGGTGGATGACGAGAGGTTTCTTGTAAATGTCAAAAACAGCTGGCGGTATGATCGTTGATTTTATATGTTCAGTCCTCGCTACCGATGGGCCCTTGGAAGGCATTTTTTTAAATTACTACTTATACTTTTATTTACCCTATTTTGAAGTTAGATTAGTTAGTTTACTAAAAAATTTGTTACGAAAACTGCACCCCTATTTTTAGGAAATTAGCAAATAGATGAACATAGAAGACACGGTTGAATTTAATATGGAGAAGAAGCGATTAACTTAAGGTAATTTTTTTTATAAAACTCAAAAGTACACTATTTGATAATAAAATCTACGGAATACTTACAATGTAGTTTTTAGGTTTGAAATCACATTCAGGCATCTTTCCTATACTGTACCATCTTACGAATTTATTGTCCAATCCTTTTAACACTGTGAATTAAATTAAAAAAAAATCTAAATCTATACTAAAAATTAAACATTTTAAAGATACCATAGACTTTAAATTGGAATATTTTTTAATAAAAATACAATTAACCTTTGTAAGCCATAACGTTGTTTCAGTTGGAATAACAAATTTTCACTAATCAATAAAGAATTTATTGATAAAAGCAAACATAAGTCTGTTAGCAGAGACGGACGAAGGCGCAGGTACACGAGGGCGTGGGCTACCACGCCCTCGTGTACCGAGGGAACATTATAAGAGTTTAAAGGAACTTTGAACTTTGAATTTAGAAAGGAATTATAGGAGATCAAAATCTAAATACTAAACGTTTTATTTAACAATTTTTTATACACGGCTCAAGATTTATTGGAACTAAATAAATGCCGCTTAAGCTGTTTCTAAGATTATTAGCGCCCACAAAAACACAGATTAATTGAAGAAATTAATAAAATAATATACAACATAATTATAGATTAAAATAAAAAAAACAACCGTTAGTTAATAACCACGCGGAAGATAAGTCGCCCACATTAAATTCAGCTCTTGATCCGCCCCTGTCCTTAGTAATCTTAGTACTCCACTGCAGTACACTTGAATTATTAAATAATGCCGTCCCTTAAAATCTCTTTGAAGAAATAAAGACAACGATATATAATAATAAAATTGTCTCATCAATAGAAACCCACTGTTAGTATGATAAGATTTGAATTAACATGTTTTTTGGTACTTGTCTCATTAATTTCTTTTCACATTAGCGATTGTTAAATAAAGTAGCAACCGGTTTTAGATATTGTAATATGAGAAAAAATATACGTTATTTCAATTTTTTTTTTTATAAAGTACTCGTACTTTAATAATTTTTACGATAACTCTTCAACGCATCGACAAACTTTCATCTGGACAACGGTCAATTCGCCATTTTAATCACAGGGCCTAGGATGAATATTTTCAACAAGCGTCTACGTATTGTCATTTATTTCAAAATTATGTTGACATTGGTGTACTTTACGACCGGTAGTGGCGCTGTACAAATTTTAGTACAAATATTGTCGACGACGATGTCGTTTGTTACAAATACTTGTGTTAGCGATTGTCAAAGTTGGCGCTTCAATTCGGGCACGGAAAATTAATAAATATTAACTGATTAATTAAAGATTTTGTTTATTTATTTATAGCATAACACATATGTGAATACATTATTAGTTGGAATCCTTTGGCGCGAATGGCGCGCTTTTGTTACCAAGTGTCAGATTGATTAGTGAGGGGACATAAACGTCGACATTTTAGTAAGGCTAGTGTTGTGTAAGTACACCGGCACAGTGTCGAATTTTCTTCCTAACAATAATTAAAAAGATTAGTTGTTATTGTTATATTTATGTCGTTTGAAAGCTTCATCTAATACAGATATAGAGAAATCAACGTCTTGTTTGTTTATACACATCGGCGGCTTTATTCTGAGGACCTGAAAAAACGATAAATATTTGAATTAACTCGTTCTTTTTTATTAATATGATATTAATGAACTTATATTATTGAGGGCACACAATTAGCATTAGCCCTATTAATATTTTCTACATCGGAAGAACACATAGTCGACTAATTAAGTTTTTTTAATTTCACGCAGACTGAGTCGCGCGAGACAGCTAGTATATTATAAACTTACATTATTCCATCTCCCTCCACGTCCTATCAATACTCCAAGATCTTTAATAGTTTCAAAGATGTTTTTGAACTGGTCTAATGGCATAGGTTCCTTGGTCCCTGGCTTGACGAGGTCCAATCCCAACATAAGACCCTTGCCTCTGACATCTCCAATCACCGGGTGGACCTTCTGTAGTTCCATCAGCTGCTCGATGAAGTACCTTCCTATCACCTTGTTGTTCTCTTGAAGATTCTCTTCTTCTATCACCTTTAAGTCAATCGATTGGTGTTTATTACTTAATTTTTTGTCAGTTCAGATTTTTTAGGTTACGCTGTTTTACATTCGGTAATCAATTCAAGGAGTTATTATAGTCTATATAGAGATATAATCTAAACCATGATGTTTCAGTTGGTTGTCAGTATTTCTAGCAAAATTTGCAGTCACATACAAATAACAATTAAAATAAAAAAATAAAAAAACAAGTTAGTTTTGATACCGTGTTTACTTATAAAACATATCTGTCCTTTATTTTTCTGCAATAATGAGGATGAGGTCACGAGAGTATTTTTTGCGTCATTAATTCGCCCAACGCCTATCTATATATTATCCAATGGCCAGTATTCTTTCATACTTACTTCTAAAACAGCCTTTCCAACTGTAGCCGCGAGTGGGTTACCGCCAAACGTATTAAAATATGAAGCCTGCGCGTGCGCTGACGCAATCTCCTTTGTAGTAACCACTGCAGCCAATGGGAAGCCGTTCCCGATACCTTTGGCCATGGTAACAATGTCAGGCGTGAAGCCTTGGTCCTCGAAACCCCAGAATGTATCTCCAGTCCGGCCAAAACCGGTTTGGACCTGAAATTGTTTTGCAGGATCCTTATTTTTCGACTTGCCGCATAGAAAGTTTCAATAATAATATTTTTCAAAACTAGACCTTAAGCACCTTAAATTATGTAGGTTGTTCAAAGAACTAAAACACTGACTCGCACACGTAAAGTCAGCCAACTTGAGATGAGCAGTAGTGGTGAGTCAAAAATTTATGGGACTGACTCTCAAACCGTCACTAATATTTTCCCTACCAACTCACTTCATCAGCGACATAAAGTCCTCCATACTTCTTTATCAATTGATAAGCTTTTCGCAGATAACCCTTAGGGAACTGCAACGCGCCGTTGACACCCTGTATACTTTCAGCAAAGAGCGCTGCCACACGACCCGCGGGCACTGAGTTGTCTAAAAGCTGTAATAGTAACATTGGTAACTCTTGATAACAATAGTAACGATTAGTTCCTATTAGTTACCCTTAATGCTATTTTATTGGTGAAAATTAAGATAATTAACACAGATAATTTATATTTTATTAACTAATGGGAAATTTTAATTTGAAAAGCAATAGTAAATTGAGATCGATGTCATAAAATCTAGGACTAATGGGTTTAGGAATTGGCCTAAAAAGAAAACATGTCTATTTCGTACTAAAAATATGTATCTACCTCACTTAATTGATGTGCGTATTTATCAGAGGTAACACAGTCCCCGGGACAGCTGCACGCACCGGGGGCTTGCGACAAGGAGTCCCGGCAGCCTCCCCAGATACCACGGTAGGGGTCTGGTAACAACGCCTGAAAGTCACACATTAATATAGCTCATGAATCCGTCAGAGAGGCAAAAAAAAATAAGTAGCCTAAGTGTTCTTCCTGGATATGCTCTACATCATGCCAAATTTCAAAGACAACCATGAAGCCATTCTGGATATACTTTTTAACAAACATCCATCCATCCAAGAGTGAGTTTTATAAATCGGTCAAGTTCAAGTGATATAATGATGAGTTAATTAGGAACTTAAGTTTACGTTATAGAATCCAGCGTGTGATATATTAGGTTGTCGGTACGCCTGTGTAGAGGTGAGTCCCATCACTCCGTAAGAACAGCCGTGGTAGCCGCTCTGCAGGGAGATGACGTCATTGTTGCCGGTGAAAGCCTTTGCGAGGACTACAGCGAGATCGTTTGCCTCCGTACCGCTATTCACTAAGTATACAACCTAGAATTATATTAATAAGCTAGCTGTCGCATGTTACTGCGTCAGCGTAGAATTAAAAAAGTAATTTATATCATGTCCGCCTACATCGAAAACCGATTAGCCCGTTCCGGAGATTACCCTGGACAGACGCGGCCCCGCTTATTTACATACATACAGACGGACAGACAAAATTTAAAAAAATGGTTTTTTGTTATCAGAAAATTATTTATACAAAATATTGTGTACATATCGTTTTAGTACTACAAGTGTATAATTACATGCAAACGGCAATTGGGTGAAATGCGCATTTTGTCTATGGTGAAAATACTTGCCTTCAGATCTCCAGGAAACTTTGCAGTTAGTTTCTCCACGTACTCATAGAGTTTAGGATGGCGGTAAATATTGGTCGTGTGCCATAGAGTATCAATCTGCTCGTGTAGAGCTGACGAAACTTTCCTGGAAACATTACAAATTTACCATTGATAGCTCAGTCATAGTTGCAAAATTTTGCTTTGAACGTGTGAAGTTCATTTTCTGTCTTTTTTCCTCCTCCATACTGTTTACCGTTCTTTGCAGTCTTGGTCATGTTAATTTCGCCTTAGACCGGTATAAACCAGTCGTCCTTCTCTCTCTTTAACTCTGCATAGTGATAAATACTTACGGGTGACAATGCCCGACGGAGACAGTAACTATACCACCAAAGAGGTCCAAATACCTCCTCCCTTCATGGTCGTAGAGCCATTGCATGCTGCCTTGGTGTATTATGAGAGGTTTCTTGTATAAATCATAAACAACTGGAGAAACATGGTTCAGTTTTAATTTGTCCGTTTTTGTGACGGATGGACCCTAGAAAATAGATGTGATTAAAATTTATTTTAATGTTTGACCTTTCTATACCGTACGGATAAGGTAGGTAAATTATTCGTTTTATTACATTTCGTTTAAAAGTTAAGTTAAAATATTTTTTTTTAATCGTACAAATATTTAGGTGTTGATGTATAAATATGCACATATATCGTTACATACCGTATAAGGTTTAGGTATAAAATTGTATTCCGGTATCGCTGGAGTACTGAAGCGTCGAACAAATTGATTGAAGCAACATTTTGTCGCTGCGAAAGAAAAAAAATTGTCTATGTCTACAAATATATCTAACTTTTATAATAAAAATAACGAAATTTTAGATTATTTACAAAATAAATATTAATAACTTAAAAAACAGAAACTATTTAAGTTCTAAAAATTTTAAATATCATAATTTTTTGGTATTAAACATTGTTTTTTTATTACGATTTTTTATTAACCTGTATTAGCCATTGCGGTATCTCACTAAAGCAACTAAAACTGAACTAACGAAATAATAATTCAACAATGAATAGACAAAACATGACCGTTATCACCTTACGAACTGATTTGCATCAATCATTTACATAAACAATTCTTTATATAAATTATTATTAAAGCGTTCCTTAACTATATATCAATATTATTGAGTCTTTGTTTGGTCAGTTACAATACATTTTACATATAGGAAGACAATCAATGAGGTTTTATAACAAATAATAACAAAAAAAAATATTTCAAACCTATTCTTGGTTCCGATAAAAGGCAAAAGCGATAATTTATACTTAAAATATAAGAGTCAGTTTGAGTAACTCCGTTAAAACTTAGTAAGAAGTAGTTCGCTTTTTAAATTGTCTATCGTTCGATGTCATGAATTCCCGCGCTGTGACTGCTTTTTCCCGCCTTTACTGATTCACTACGTTTTACTATATGAGTTCAATGTTCTTTACGAGTGGAACCGCAATGCGAGGCTAGTTATACCAAAGTAGAGTAACGGAAGATAATAATATTTTGGATATAAAAATAAATATAACAAATTGTGCTGATAACCTTTTATATGTGCGTAACACGTAACTTGTTACTTAGCAACACAACACCACGCAATACATTATCTGCCACATTTAAGAGAATCCCTAAGTGGCCACTTAATGAATGTTAATCTACGGAACGCGTCAGTAAATCTACACTGAGGTAAAGTACTTCAGTGAAAACTTAAGCTCTGAGTTTAATAAGGATATCGAAATACCGAGTTGTTTTCATTATCATCCTTAATTTTTATTAATCCATCGCTGAAAATCGCTTGAAACGCTCGTGAGAAAGTAAAGTCTAAAAAGGAAAAAGACTTCTAGTAACTATAATGGCAACACCACTCCATGCAAATAGCTATTAAATAGCAACTTTTAAAGTAGTTAATTTCACTGTTACTACAAGATGTGAATAATTCAAAAAATACTACCATTCACAATATAAAAAAAGCGATCCAAAAATGAAACATTTAATAAAACCGGTTTTCCGATAATCGTTATCGGTTCAGTGTCGTTTGTGAGACATCACTATTGACAGAGAATACCTTCCACGTCAATCGAGTTGGAAAGAAAATTGGCATTGGTTTGGAAGTCCAGCGACGGTGGTTGTTACATATTGCCAAGTGAATGGCCTATAGCTGATCATTAGTTACTATTTTTCATCATACAAGAATAGAACACTAGTTAAAAATGAAGTTTTTATATTTAACTTTCTTAATTTTACCCGCTGCGTTACTGTGCTTTCAAAGTGGTAAGTAATTTATGGAATATTTAATAAAACTAATAAGAAAGTTGCAAGCGTATGTACGTGGCAGATAAATTTTGGATTTTTGAGAGAAAGTGCAAACAAAATACTACTTAAACTAACAATATTGTCAAGGAATATCTAAACTATGCTTCAAAGTTCCTAATTCTGTACAAATTTTAAAGGTAACCTATTTTATTACGATTTACCCCGGTTTATTTTACGTTCCTATTTCCTATATATCTACACAAATATATAGATGCATAAAGATGTAGTTTGTATCTTTTTGTAAAAGTTTTACTTCAAATTAAAAACTTAATGTGTTAAAAACAGCCTATTTAAGGTTTACACAGCTGTTTCCTTTAAAATTAGTTAAGACTTTAGTTATACAATATAACTAAAGTCTTAACTAATTTTTCTTTTGAATGTTTATTATAATCTATGCCTGAATTATGTTTTTCATGCTAAATATGTTATTATAAAAATAATTCATATACATATCAAATTACTTTTTTCCAGCAAACACAATCCTAGCTCATGCAGAGGAAGATGAGCTAGATGATGTGGTGGACATTGAAGGTGAAGACAGCCAGGTAGTGGGTGAAGATGCTCTCGGAGATGATGATGACTCTGTTGTTAAGTCCTCGCAGGATATTGATACCACCATATTGTTCACTAAACCTATACCTAATTATGGAGATAATGCATTTGGTAAGATATATACTTTATATTTTTAAATAGTACAGTTAAAGAATATAATTTTTCCGATCCTTTGTCATATTTTTCTCTACAATTGTTTATGTATGGGTCATAACTTTCCATTGTTTCATGCATACTGTGAAACTTCAATGCATTGACAGTTCTCTGATATACTCTTTGATAAAACAAAGACTAAAATATGTATATCACACGTGTCACAGTATTCAAAATCTTCTGCAACGGTATAATTAGAAAGAATCTATACACAGTGTATTCATTGTATGCATGGAATCTCTGTATGAACATGAATACCTCTTTAGACATCCATATCACGAATAATATAGACATTAAAGTCATAATTTCTGTACAATAAATTAATATGTAATTGTATATATTACCTTGTGTTTCACAGACCTACAAGCTGGTTACCCAGTTGAGTTTCTTGTTGGTTTTATCAACAAGGGGAGCGAAGACTATGTAGTTGAGACAATGGAAGCTTCCTTCAGATATCCATTGGACTACACATATTATATTCAGAACTTCACCGCTCTGCCATACCACCGAGAGGTGAAGCCCAAGGAAGAGGCTACTTTTGCTTATTCGTTCATACCTAATGAGGCATTTGCGGGCAGGCCATGTGGATTGAACATTCAGCTTAACTATAGAGATGCCAGTGGAAATTATTATCAGGTCTGTTATATTTTATAAATATTTAACTTAATGAAATTAAATTGTATAATACAAAGTTTTGTTTTTAAATTTAATGCTGCCTTTAATTAATCAACATTTATTTTTTCCAAACAGGAGGCTGTATACAATCAGACAGTTAACATAGTGGAAATATCGGAAGGTTTAGACGGAGAGACATTCTTCCTGTATGTGTTCCTTGGTGCAGCCTGTGTGCTTATATTAGTGCTGGGTCAGCAAGCACTATCATCACTTGCCCGCCGTCGCTCGCCACGCGCCGCACCTAAACCTCTGGAGACTGGTACAGCTAATGATGTAGACTATGACTGGCTGCCTAAAGAAGTTGTTAACCAGCTTAGTAAGTATATTTAAAAGTGTAACAACTGCACTCGACAGTAATTAACTCCTCCCTTAGTGTAGGTTTAGTATAAATGAAAACTAAGAGACTGTTTTAGTGCCCAAATGAACAATGCTAAGTGCAATAGACTTGTAGCTTTAGTTGCAAAAGCTATGTTTATATAGGAACTAAAAACTCATGCACAAATGTATTGTTAGTTATGTACTTTGTCTAAATATTTTTTGTTTTGTTTACAGAAAAATCACCGAAGACACCGAAACAATCACCTCGCATGAGGAAAGCAAAGAGATCTGCCGGAGATGATTAAAAATTAAAATAATATTTATAATTAATGAGAACACCAAATGTTGCCTTGTACAGGCTTTATAACCTGTTGAGAGTGACTGCAATAATTAAAATAAGAATAGGCTGTGACATTCAACAATAACCACAAAATATTCAAAATTTATAATTAAAATTAATTTCAGTATTGCTATTTGATACCTTCCAGACCTAATCTTATTTTAGTTATGTTCCAAGTGTACAGACTGTGTGGTTTTTAGTTGCTAAGTGTTGTGAGAGTAAATTATGGAACAAAGTGTGGACAGCTTTTTAATAACGTTCGAGATAATGAGAAGACATTATTTAATTAAAAATGTTACATTTTTAAAAGTTTTCTTTTATTCCTACCCTAGTAAGAAAATCTTATAATTTAACAGTTATCTGAATTTGAAATATACCATTCATTCTTTTTATCAAACCATCTGTATAATGTAAGCTATTTGCAAAATAATTAGCTAACGCAATTTTTTTAATTACAATTGATGTCAGCTATGGAATATGACTCTTTGAGAGTTTTAGAACGCAATCCTTTCTATAGTAGGACAATCCTCTTGGCCTTTTAAAACTGATTAATTGCAATATAAATTACTACATTTTTAAAATACAAGAAAAGCATTAAACAAAAGTAGAATATTTTTTTTATTTCATAAAATGTGGGTCGTTTTAACGAAAGTGTTTATTACGACAATAAGGATTAAATTGCAGAAAAAGAACATGTGTATATAATAAAAAATGCTATTTTTAATGTAGAGAAAGGATTAAGTTTCGTAATTTTACAAAAATCGAAAAGTAAAATAAATACGACACAAGAGTAAAATTTCGCATCACTATAACTGTCAAAATTCGAAGTCAATTTGTTGTCTGTGGCATCATTCCTTTTTGTCGTACACGCTATTTGCGCTGCACGTGTATTTGCTTTAGCATATTGAAACTAATACAAAATGGATAAACCCAACGTTCTCGCTCGCGTAGTCAAGGTTTTGGGCCG